CATCACCTGATTTCACCAGGGCATCCCTAGACAAATGTCAGTCAATCAGGGGTCCTGGATCTTAGAATTCCTTTACCCCAACCTCTGCTATTATAAAACCCCCACCCCAACTGAGCTCAATGCTCTCTGTTCGTTCTAATGTGTTGGACCCACTGAGACTCCAAATTCAAACTTGAACAAGAATACTTAAAGGACTAAGTCTCCTTGTTGGTTTTTGGGGAACTCCACAAACTGGGCATAACAATGGGTGGGTTAGTTCTAGAGTCTGAAAATGACTTAGATCGAATGAAGTCAGACGCACAGAGAAGACTGGGTCGCTGTGCAGGATATTTACCCTGCTCCAAGCTGGAGCATAGAGATAGATCTTTGGTATGAGAACGGCGGGTGGGTCAGGGTAGTCAGGATGGGTCTTAGCTGATTCCTAGGGATTAGCTGAGGGATATGCAAGGGTGGCCAGATTAGGGAGGGACAACAGACATGGACAAGATTTGGGGGGTTGTGGAGAATGCATGAAAGGGACTTGAGGCGAGCTCACTGGGCTAATCCCCCGAGATGGAAGTACACAATCTGCCAGCTCCTTTTTAAGAAACCAGGTCTCAGTGGCTCAGAAGAGCACCACCAAGGCAAAGTCCGTCCATTAAACTGTTCTGAGAACTTAATAAGCTCAGCTGTATTTAGTAACCTATATTGGCAGTTAGAGAAAGTACTTATACACCAGGAGTGGAAAATTAAGGGCTATTTCAGGATTCTGTTCCCCACAGCAAATAAACTGGGATTATCTTTTTCCTAAGGATCAACATATCAGTTAAACACTTCAGGTCAAAAGAAGGTTTCGGCATATAAATGCTGAAAGCATGCTGAATTTTCCCAATTGCGAAATACAGTTAGCAAACAAAAGCAAGGCTTATTTAATGTTTCCTCATCAATGTATACACTGTCAATAAAACCACAAAGCTATTAATATATTGGTCATCAGGTCTGGGGAGACGGTTCAGTTGATAAAGTGCTTGCCTCCTGAGCCAAGCAAACTCTAGGTGAACATGGTGCCTTGCCTGTAATTCCAGCTCTTGAAAGGCAGAGTGGGATTCCAAGAGTAAGCTGGCTAGCTAGACCAGTTGTTCAATCAGTGAGGACTGGGTTCAGCTAAGGGGATCTGCCTTAAAGAATAACGTAGAGAATGGCCGAGGAAGAGGAAAACGGCAGGTGTCAATGTCAGGCTTCCACAGACACCTGCACACACAATAACATACACCCTTCCACACATTTGTGGCCACATATTGGGACATATTTACATAGTCATGCATACCACAGACACTGTAATGGGGATGAGGTTCCTCCATCTTGTCTCTGCTGCAGCCATCTAAGGTCTGACTCAGAACTGAACCTCTTGCCCCTACTCTCTCCTATGGGAAAGTCCCTTAAAAAATCATCCAACCCTATCCCAGAGACATGAGGTCAAGATGCCCAGCTAACTGCTGCTTTCTGCTTCTGTTAAACTGCTTGCTTGCTCTCCTTGCCTGCAACTGGCCGCCAGGATATGGGCTTTTGCCTTTAAAAGCTCCCTGCAGAAAGCACTCGGGAACTCCTCTGTGAGAGTAGTTCGCTCTCCAGGCAGTCTCCAGATGGCTTAATAAAAACTCTCAAATTCCGACTCTGATTTTGCAAATGGTCCTGGGGTCTCTGCCCCATGGCCAACACAATATACATGCAAGAAAAATAGATAGAATGCCCAGTATTTCTCACATTTGGACACGTGGTGAGTTCACTTAAGATCTATTCTCGGCAAACTGCAAGCATTTGTGTCCTAAAACTAAACGGCCTTGGTAAGATGTTTTCTTGTTTGTCATACACAGTAAATGAAACTAATGTAAAAGATAACACAAAGGTAAGAATTTTAGGAGTCAATTCCAAGTATGCAAAAATTCATCTTAATTCGATCTCTATATAATATACATATATATATATATATACACACACACACACACACAATACATAACTGCTATATATTGTGATAATTCGTGGGCTGATGTTTTTCAAATCAAGAGTTTAACAGCTCCAGCAGTGTTCAGCGAGCGCTAAACCAGTCATTCCAGTTTCTACATGGGGAAATCTATTTAGGATTATATTTGATGATTAAAATAATTACTATTTCCATACTGTTTGCTATTTTTTCCTCAGGTTAGTTGGGAAGATAAGCTTTAGAGAAAGCTGTCATGAACAGAGACTGTTGAGTGCACAAACAGCGTTAGAACGAGAGCACCCTCCACCTGCCCAAAGCTGTCCGAGGACAAGCACAGCCCAGAAGCTTCGCTCATCAAAACAGAAGAAGGGTACACCGATGAGCATGGGCCTTTCCCGGGCTCGTCTATTGCTCCTCCACCCTGCTGGCCCCAGCACTGTGGAGTAATACCTCCTGGTATCTCCGATGAAGTGAAAAGCACAGGCTGGAGACACGTAACTGGTTCTCCTCGTACTGTAAACATTTGGAAAAGCCATCGCTATGGTCCAAACACTGCGTCTCCAAAGTCTGCAGTTGGAGAACCAAAATGAACCTTTGAGTGGGGTCTTCATCCTTCTCCTCAGCTATAAAGTCATACTAGCCTAAATAACAATTTTGAAAGGGAAAGTCACCCACTTTAATAGAGAAATGTGCCATTTCAGTGAACATAACAGAGTATTCGGTTTCCTGGCTGGAGTAAGTTACCAGCTCAATTTTAGATTAAGTTTGCACAGACATTGAGTATTTCCATAAGGAACCTCATGCTGTACCCAGGCCCCTTGAGATTCAATACACCAGACCCTTCTTGCTTAAATCCTTAAGTTCTTTATTTAGGTCAATAAAAAGGATTTCACCATCCTACAGAGTTATGGACACTTCTGTTCCAAAGCTTAATGTATTACAATCAGTTTAGTTTTCCTATAATCACAAAGTAAAAGCCTTGCCACCTTCTTGGCATGGTTCACAAAACAGGAGAAGGCAGAGTTCACAAAAGTTCTGAGCCTCCGCATATTTACATTCCTGGACCTGATACAATTGAATTAATTCAATTCATATTTACTAGTTGATAAATGTGTAACGACAATGGCCTTTGAAGGTACCCATGATTTTATCCCTGGAGCCTGGAACCATGCTACATGGCCAAAGGGTGTTAAGGCTGCAGGTGGATAACGGTTGGTAATCAGGGACCTTGAATCACAGGAGATCTTAGGCCAGACAGGAGGAGGAAGAAAAGTCAGAAGGGACCTGGGACTAGACCCACACTCCCTGCCTGAGAAGACGGCAGTAATGGGAAAAACAAACAAATAAAACAAAACCAAAATCAAAACCAAAAACCCGAGTGGATTCTAGAAGCATGGAGCTGCTGAATCTTGATCATCCCCTCTACAGGCTCCAGAAAGATCACGGCTTTGCCATATCAGCTTTGATCTCAGCACAGTGAGCCCCACACCTCTCTAGAATTGAGAAGAAAACAGTCTGTTGTTCTCAGACATGGCTTCCAAAGGACAGTAATCCAGGGTCACATAGCTGGCTTCAGCTATGACGAGGCTTTGTTGCCATGGTGTCTCGCTGAGATGGGAGAGGCGTGGAAACAAAGGAAGGAAGCCATTCTAAATTAAAACCTTGCTTCGTCAGTGGCAACGCCATTTTTGTTTTTTAATTTAAATGAAGAAAAAAAAGATAAAATCAGTATTTTAACAAGCTCTCCAGATAATAAAAGTATGAAAAACACTGGATCACATTTATTAGAAATTATTTTAAAAGGTAGATAACTATATGATGCTTCTTTCTCATTTTCTAGAGCAGCGGTTCTCAATCTTCCTAAAGCTGTGATGGACCCTTTAGTACAGTTCCTCGTGCTGTGAAAACTCCAACCATAAAATTATTTCATTATTACTTCATAACTGTAATTTTGCTAATCATGAATTGTAATGTAAATACCCGATACGCAGATTATCTGATAAGCGAACCCTATACAAGGATTATTAGATCCCCAAAGGCATGGTGACCCAGAGATTGAGAGCCATTACTCTAAAGCAAACATCTGAGCACACCAAGAACACTAGGCTGTGGTGTCTTAAAAGGCTCAAAGAACAAAAGACATTCCCACAGCTCCAACAGGAAGGCCCTGGAACAACTCCATCAGTCTAGGACTGCAAAGGATTCTCCTCCTTTGAAAGGTCCCATGAGTTGTATGATTATAAATATTACATCTGCTACCTCTGAAAAGTCACTAGAAGTCCTTGACTAACACTCATGGAGTCACGGGAAACAATGTAATACATTTTCACCCATGTAATACATTTTCTCTCCTTTAATACAAAGAGAGTAATGATCCACATATCACAACACACTTTAAAAAGTTTTTTAAGCACTAGTAAGTCTTAAGTGAAAATAAACTTACTGATGGGCTAACAATGACCAGAGTGTTATCCCTACCAAGTCACTGTTGATGACGTCAGCAGAAACAATGTATGCATGGCAGGGAGAGAAAATACAAAGGGAAACATGGACATTTTAAAACTACATTTTACGTAGTGTTTACTTCCCCACTAACTCCCGTGTGCACCAAAAGATGCACTCAGAAAGACTGTCAAGGCATTACTGTTAGGGTAACCCTGTCAGTTATCCAGCGCTGCAAATCACGCCCACCTGTTCACAAGATTAAAATAACCAACAAGCATGTAAAACGTCCAGTGGAAGAAGAACATTAGCATAGATCACTAGCCAGAGGAAGGAAATCCACAAAGATGGTTAACAGGAATGAGAAAACCGGCCCAGTCGAGACGGACACACAACAGTGAAGATAATTTGCTCTGGTTTAATCAGTGCACCTCACCCAGTCAGCAGCTCTGCACTGTGAGGGACGTAGGTGACAATCCATTGTCCTATTTGTCAGTTCTCACCCAGGAATCGGCCGCCAGGCAGCCTGGGAAGTGAAAAGACCGCGTCTACACTGACATTACAAGAGATGCTTCACAACTATAGAAAAGTCAGATCATTACGACAGAGGAGTTTTATTTCTGTCAAGTACACAATTTAAGAAAACTTCACCAGAGGGAGCACTTTGGAAAGATATGGTCAGAGTATATGGTGTAGACAAAACAGGCACCTCCATTGTAATTTGAATAATAAATAAAAGCCCATTAAGAAACAAAGAAGATAAGCAGCACCGGAAGCCTGGACGTCTGGAACTAAATGCTGTACCCAATGGTCTAGCCAGTTAAGTGTTACTAAGAGCTGCAAAGGAGGAGCTGCTGTTGACTTAATATTTTAGTTTTAGCAGAGACAAGCGCTTGTCTGGCTTGCCGTCCTGTCGGGGATCCCGATCTTCAAGCATCCTATACTTTGGAGAGCAGACCAGACTCGGGGGCACTCGCCTTAATTAGGTTCTGAATTTCCTTGAATTTCGGGTGGTCTTTGTCAGCCACCAGCTGTAGCAGAACGGCCTCACTGGTGGTTACGATGATCCCAGTTCGTGCAAGACGCTAGAAAATAGAAAGAAGAAGTGAGCTAGAAAATGGAGGTGATTTAAAAACAGCGGAAGTTGGGCCCGGACAATAACTTGGGTCTTCATCTCTAACAATGGTTCTCTGCCATAGCAATAAATTCAGTGATAGAGAAAGATTTCAAAACCAGATGGATCACGAACCCATCATAGGTACTTCTTCGAATTAGTAATGGGTTAGACATCAGTAAAGGGAGCCAGGGAGCCAGCATCAAGATCTGTAGGTACTAGATTACCAGGCTAATGATGTAACATGAGCAGAGAGAGGACACTGGTAGAAGTCATATCCCCACCTGCGCCAGCAATCTCTGTCAACTTGATACTCAAGCTGGGGTCTTCTGGGAAGAGGAAAACTTAACTAAGGAAGTGTCTCCATCACACTGGCCCCGAGGCAAGTCTCCAGGCCATTTTCTTGATTAATGGTTGATGTTGGAAGGCCACTGCACCACGGGTGGTGCCACCCTGGATCAGGTGGCCCTAGGTTATTTTAAAGACAAGCTATGTAAGGCAGTAAACAATGTTCCTCAGTGGCCTCTGCTCCAGGTCCTGCCTCTGGGCTCCTGACTTGAGTTCTTGCTAGTGATATCCATGTCATGGGAGTTAAGATGAAATCAACCCTTTCCTCCCCATTTTGCTCTGGTCATGATGTTTATCACAGCAACAGAAACTGGGTTAGGATCCAGCACTCCGCATGTGCACACTTCTCAGGGCTGGAACATTTCACCTCTGTTGACTCCCTCAAATGCGGACATCTTTTGGCTTCCAGCTTTGATAATCTCTTGTGGTTTTGTTTTGTTTTCTTATTTCTAACACCAAGAACAAAAGAGGGGCTTCATCTGTATTTACCCTGTGCAGTGTAATCCAAACAGGAACCATTTATTGGTACCTATTTATTTAGAAAATAATCTCTACTATGGATATAATTACAGCTATCCAGACTATTTTATTACTAGTTGGCTATCCAACTACATAAAATAGAAGTTTAATTGCATTAATAAAATAAGGGTTCTTAAATTCTTCTTTTCAGACTGCAGAAAATAGCACCTGAGGCCTTTGCATAATTAAGAATTCTCTGGTTTAGGAATGATTGTCAAAAGTGAAGGGCCATAAGAGAGGTTTGAGAATCTGCCCCAGGGAATAATGGAATCACCACCTCTTCTGTGATACGAACTTTTTGGAATGATTAAGCAAGGCTATAAAACCAGTAACTATGTACAGTTGCCCACCAGAACTGTTCTTGGCAGAAGGACTTTGCCAGGCTTCTCCAGCAGAACCATAGGAATTCAAGGAGGCAAAGGAGGGGGTAGGAAGGGGTGGGGATAATTCCACGGCAGAGGTCCACTCTCTGTAGTGATCAGTAGTCAGACGCTCGGGGGGAAAGGGCAAATGGCTATCACAAGAAGCATCTGTTATGGGAAACTTAGAAAAGGGCATGGCCTTTTCTAGTGTGGCACGGACCATAGTCTTGTCCGTCTACCCTAGCGATCTTTGGTGGTGCAGGAAGCTGGTCACACTGAGGTGTACAGTGCTCCTTACAGACTGAGGGTTTAAAAATAACTAAGCAAAGAATCCACATGAGAAGGAAGGTGTGGTACAGAAAATGCAAAGTTTTTAGAACAGGATCCTGGGTATGTGCACAGAGCTTGCCCTCCCCAACCTGGGAGGAGCCTAAGCAGACAGTAGCAACAGCTTCTGGTGTTCTGCTCACTCTTTGTCTCCAGAGCTAAAACTGGCCATTGGCTATGGAGGATCCCTCCTTATGCTTGCACCGGCAGTCCAACTGGGCCAATGATAAAGGAAGGCTCCTTCGTGTGCACACGTAAAACTGTCTATGTCAGGAATGGAGCATCCAACCCACTTCATATTCAAGCAACACCCAAAACTACAGGGGCATCTAGTTCAAGAGAGGATTTACTTCATTCGTTCTGCAATTCTTCTGTGATCTGACAAAATCAGGTAAGTGTATGGTGGCACAGAAATCTATCATGCGATTATGAACATTATTTATTCCAAGGTGACACTCCCCAACAGATGACGAGTACATACAAGGAAATTCCCAGTAAATAAAGTCCAGGCCACAGGCCTTAGGCTTATTAATTATTCATCTTGCAAGTGAAATGAATACAACAGGCAATATGGATAAGGATTGTCTGAAGTAGTTCTGCTCTGAGGGAACAAAGAAGAAGAGGCGCTGGCCATGTTGCTGTTAACTTTCAGTGCACAGAATAAAAAAGCATTTCCCCCAAAACTTTAGAGACAAACGGCATGTCCTCTCCAGCAAGATACAATGA